CTCCTATACTCAATGCACTGACCAATAAAGGCAAGCATACCAATTGCCTTCTTCACTATCCTATCAACCCACGACTCCACTTTCAATGAACTATGAACCAGCACTCCGAGGTCCCTTTGTTCTGCAGATCTTAAATTTCTCCGCAAAAGTAATGGTTTGTGATCAGTGTAGATCCTGGTTTCTCTGTGCCCATTCCAGTCTTATATCTCCAGGTGTTTGAAAGCCAGTAATAAACCAGTGATTTCCTTCTCTCCTGTAGAGCACCATGTACGATGCTTCTTTAGATTTTTGGAGAAATACCCGATTGGTCTATCTATTCAGGATTTATTTACCCAAATGGAGGATAGCCCCTCTCCCAATGTCACTCATTGATAACTACTTCCAATGTTTGGTTAAAGTTTGGAGCTGTAGACAGAGGCTCCCTTACTAATATGGTCTTCGCCTTTTCAAAATTGTTTGGCATTTCTCAATCAATACTTGTATGCCTTTTCTTATGCAGTATTACTGTCAGTGGTGTGTTGAAGTTTAGAATGATCTTTTGATAGAATCCATGCATTCATGATTTCTGGTTTTGTGGTGAGAATGGGGAACTGTGCTACAGATTGCAGCACTGGGCAGTACATAGAAACATAGTAAATAGGAGCAGGAGTAGGCTATTTGGTCCTTTGAGCCTGCTGCACCATTAAAATGATCATGATTGATCATCCAATTCAGGTACCCCGCTCCCACTTCATCCTCTAACCTTTTTATCCCTTTACTCCTAAGAACTATATCTAATGCCTTCTTGAAAACATTCAATATTTTGGCCTCAACCACTTTCTGTGGCAGAGAATTCCACAGCCTTACTATCTACGTGAAGAAATTTCTACTATCTCAATCCTACATGGCTCATCCATTTTTGACCCAATGTGTATTTTGGGCAGATCCCTTGGGCCTTAGCAAACTTGCTGTTTGTGAGATTGACCCCAAGGTCAGCTGACTATATCTTCTGGAAGAGGGCTTCTAGTTGCTCTCAGTGTGTTTCCCAGGCGTCACGGTACACAGGGAGGTCTCGGTACGTTATGCTGTTAGATAAACCTGGTTAATCATCCTTTGGCAAGTGCCTGGGGCATTTCAGAGTCTGATTTGACATTACCTTTTGGGAAAAAGAAAGATCAAAACACTTTTAAAAAGGAGGAAGACAGACAAAAGTAGAGACCATGTGGGAAGTGATTCAAATGGAGAAAGAAACCTACACTGCTGTCAGGCCCAGCAGTGACCTGCACAGTTACTGCCTTTGCTGTTTGGTTTCAAGTATCTCTGGACATCAGATTTGTTCTAAGAAAAATAAACAAACAGTTAAAGTCACAGCTGACCTGGAGAAACCTGTGTGGGAGTGCTCACAGCAAGGGAGCAGTTAAGTAGCTAGTTTTAAAGCGTGACATTACTGTTGTTTTTGTAAATCTACAATAGTGAGTAGAGTGGTTTGTTTTATAATTATATGTTTTTATTGAGACCTGTCTCTTGATTAAACTTTAAAAATGTAAAAACATAGATTCTAAGCAAGCCTGGAGCAGTGTTTTTTGGAGCACTAAGACTGTGCTATTTTCTGGGTCTGTGGATTATTAAGGTGCAAAGATTGCCTTTAGTAGAGTGAGGTGCTGTTCCTGTTGGATGTGGGAGATTAGGGAGCATTTCCATTGTTGCTGATGATTATTTCTGCAGGAAGTGTGTTTGGTTGCGAATCCTATCAAATCGCATGGATCGATTGGAGCAGCAGTTAGAGACAATGAGGAATTTACAGGAGCTAGGGGGTGTGGCGGATGACCGTTACAGGGAGGAAGATAAACTGAAGATATAGTCAGGTAGATAGGTTACCCCAGGAAAGGTAGGAGAGGAAGCAGGTAGTACAGGAGTCTCCTGTGGCTATCCCCATCTCAAACAAGGATGCTGTTTTGGAAAATGTAGGGGATGATGGACTTTCAGGGGCATGTAGCATGGACAGCCAGGTTTCTGATACTAACATTGGCTCTAATGTAATGAGGGGTATGCCAGGTTCCAAATGGTCGATTGTGATAGGGGACTGTCTACTCAGAGGCACAGACAGACATTTCTGTGGCCGACAGCGAGACATCAGAATGGTGTGTGCCCCCTTGGAGCCAGTACAAGGGTAGAGAGGGTACAGAATACTCTTAAAGGGGACCAGCAGGAGGCCATTGTACACATTGGAACCAACAACACAGGAAGAGAAAAGGACAAGATTCTGAGGAGGAAATATAAGTTAGGCAGGAATTTAAAAAGTATGTTGTCGATGGTAGTAATATCTGGGTTACTCCCAGTGCCATGAGCTGGTGAGGGTACGAATAGGAGGATAGAGCAGATGAATGTGTGTCTGAGGAGCTGGTGCAGGGGAGAATCTTTCACATTTTTGGAGCATTGGGATCTCTTCTCGGGTAGAAGTGACCTGTGTAAGAAGGATGGATTTCACCTGAATTGGAAGGGGACGAATATACTGATGGGGAGATTTGCTAGAGCTGCTCAGGACGATTTAAACTAGTAATGGGGAGGGGGGGGGGGATCCAGGGAGATAATGAGGAAAGGGAGCAATCTAAGACTGATACAGTTGGGAAAAGGAAAAAGTCAAACAGTCAAGGCAGGCAGGAACAAAACAGAGAAGGAGGTAGGACTGATAAATTAAACTGCATTTACTTCAATGCAAGAAGCCTAGCAGGTAAGGCAGATGAACTCAGGGCATGGTTGGAAACATGGTACTGGGATATCATAGCTATTAAGAAACATGACTCAGGGATGGTCAGGACAGGCAGCTTATTATTCCAGGGTATAGATGCTACAGGAAGGATAGAATGGCGGTGGGGGGTGCCTTAGAGGAGGGGAAGTGGTATTTTTGATTAGGGATAAAATTACTGCTGTCCAGGGAAGTTACTTGAGTGGAACTGAGAAGTAAGAAGGGATGATCACCTTATTGGGATTGCACTATAGACCCTCAACAGTCAGCAGGAAATCGACAAACAAATTCATAAGGAGATCTCCGTTATCTGTGAAAATAATAGGGTGGTAATGGTAAGGGATTTTAACTTTCCAAGCATAGACTTCGACTGCCATAGTGTTAAGGGCTTGGGTGGAGAGGAATTTGTTAAGTGTGTACAAGAAAATTTTCTGATTCCGTATGTGGATGTACTTACTAGAGAAGGTGCAAAACTTTACCTACTCTTGGGAAATAAGGGAGGGCAGGTGACTGAGATGTCAGTGGGGGAGCAATTTGGGGCTAGTGACCATAATTCTATTAGTTTTAAAATAGTTATGGGAAAGGATAGACTGGATGTAAAAGTTAGAGTTGTAAATTGGAGGAAGGCTAATTTTGATGGTAATAGGCAAGAACATTCAAAAGTTGATTGGTGGCGGATGTTTGCATGTAAAGGGACGGCTGGAAAATGGGAAGCCAAAAAAATGAGATAATGAGAGTCAAGAGACAGGATGTTCCTTTTAGGTTGAAGGACAAGGCTGGTAGGTGTAGGGAATGCTTGATGACTAGAGAAATTGAAATTTTGTTAATAATAAGAAGGAAGCATGTGTCAAGAATATCTTCCCAGAGATCGAGTGAATCCTGAGAAGAGAATAAAGGCAATGGGGATATACTTAAGAAGGAAATCAGGAGGGCAAAAAGGGGACATGAGGTAGCTTTGGCAAATATGGTTAAAGAAAATCTGGAGGGATTCTGCAAATACATTAAGGACAAAAGAGTAACTCGGCAGAGAATAAGGCCCCTTATAGATCAGCAAGGCTGCCATTGTGTGGAACTGCAGGAGATGGGGGAGATACTAAATGAGTAATTTGCATCAGTATTTACTGTGGAGAAGGATGTGGAAGATAGAGAATGTGGGAAAGTAAATAGCAACATCTTGAAAAATGTCCATATTACAGAGGAGAAGGTGCTGGACATCCTAAAATGCATAAGGGTGGATCAATCCCCGGACCTGATCAGGTGTAACCCAGAACTCTTTAGGAAGTGATTGCTGGGCCCCTTACTGAGACATTTGTATTATCGATAGCTGCAGGTGAGGTGCCGGAAGACTGGAGGTCGGCCAAAGGTGGTAAGGAAAAGCCAGGGAACTATAGACTGGTAAGCCTGACATTGGCAGTGGGCAAGTCGTTGGAGGGAATCCTGAGGGACATGGATAGGGTAAGTTGACAAGGTTTTTTCCCTAGGGTGGGGGAGTCCAAAACTAAAAGGCGTAGGTTTCAGGTGAGAGGGGAAAGATTTAAAAGGAACCTGAGGGGCAATATTTTCACGCAGAGGGTGATGTGTATATGGAACGAGCTGCCAGAGGAAGTGGTGGAAGCTGGTACCATTAAAACATTTAAAAGGCATTTGGATAGGTATATGAATAGGAAGGGTTTAAGAGGGATATGGGCCGAATGCTGGTAAATGGGACTAGAATTATTTAGGATATCTGGACAGCGTGGATGAGTTGGACCAAAGGGTCTGCTTCTGTGCTGTACAACTCTGACTCTATGATATGAGCCACGAGCAGGCAGGTGTAACTAATTTAGTTTGAGACTATGTTTGGCATGGACTCGTTGGACCAAAGGGTCTGTTTCAGTGCTGTATGACTTTATGACACTGGCACACCCCTAATGGCATTACAAAGGCAGAGATTTCCATCACGTAGGAAATAAAGGAGTCAGCCTGAATTCCTGGAGCACATCTATCTTGGTATAACACAAGCTGCTTTACCAACCCTACTTTCACTATCTTCCAACCTGGTATTGGGTAGGAGTTGGCTCTGGTCATTGCATAACTTTTCAGTAGTCAATGCAGACCCTTGTGGCGCTGTCCTGCTTGGACACAAGTACAATGTGAAGCTCTAATTTTTGCTGTTATGCTGTATTTATTGGTTGTGCAGCCTGTAGTTAATCTCTGTGTGGCCCTGGGCCAGCTTTTCTAGACTGAGCTGATAGGGATATTGTCTGATGGGAGGGGCCTCTCTTACAGTACATCATGTTGAGCTGGGGTGTTGCAGTTGAGCTTGTTTCTGCATAAGTCCCTGAATGCAGTGATCAGCCTTGTTAGTTTGTTTGCTGTTCTGACCCTAGGTGGTAAGTATGGTGTCAATGTTTGTTAGCTTTTCTGTGATGGTTAGTCAGGTAGTAGGGGATTCAATGTGGGCCTTATTCATGTCTCCTTCTAATTTCTCTCCACTGTTACCTGCTTGTTCCCTTGGCAGTGTTATTGATTTATCATTTTGACAGGACAAGACTGTTGCTTTTTAACGCCAATCTGCGGTTTCAATCAGATATTTCATTTCCCAAGCTTCTTTGCAACTCTGTACTGGCCACGTTTAGGGTTCACCTGATATTGAAAGGAGCATGAAGACATGGTCTCCTGGCTGAAAGTTTGGGTCCTGGAATGTTTTTTCTGCATTTTGTTTCATCAGTGCCGGGGAGATTTTCAAGTTTTTTTCAGGCCACTGCACAGGCCCACACTGTCTGCCAGCTACATCTAACATTGACACTTGCAACTTATTTTCTAAAATCCTCTCCTTCAAAGTCCCTCGTACCTGGTGCCATAAACTAATTCAAATGGAGTAAACCTGGTGGACCCAATTGAGTGAATCCCAGGTGGTGAACAGAAGAAGATGGAATCCTTTCTCTCAATAATGGGGGTGGTCATGGCAGTGTGCCCTTATCATTGTGTTTGAGATCCTGTTCTAGTGCCCCCGTGATTGTTGGAGATACATTGCAGACCTCACTAGGTGACATCCAGGTTACCTACAACTTCCTAGAAGATTTTGGACATGAAATTTGAGCCCTGGTTCAACTAGGTCTCAATGGTCGGACCATTCCGGGTGACTAATTGGGTCTGTCCTCTCACCACTGACTTGGTGGATATGATTCCCAAGGAACAGTGTCTGGGAAACAGGCAGCCACATCCATTGATGATAAGGAGATACTGCGAGTCCCCACCTACCCCACCCTTTGTTTTAAGTTCAACATAGTTCACTAACACCTTTCCCAATGGTCCCCCAAAAGCCAAGAGTAATTACCACCGGTCTTATTGCAGTTTGGGATTTTCCCACATGCTACTGGTGAGACGTGGTCCGTAAAACACTTAGTACATCCTTGTGAGGCTGTAGCCAGTAATAATGCTGGCTGATGGGGGTGTGTGTTTTGCCTTTACCAACATTCTCAGCCTTTGGAATCTGATGAGCCAACTGTAATATTTCCGTCTGGTCCCTCGGTGGCACCATTGCCTGGTGGATCGCTATCCACTCCTCACTCAAAGTGCTATGAGAGGGGTCTCCATTTCCTCATCAGACCCTCATTTTCAATATTGTAACATTCAGTGTCTGCTTCTGCCTCAGTTCAATCTGAACAATCTGAGCTTGTGTTTTTAGCAATGGGTCAGCTTGTTGGTCTTCCACATGGACATTCTCTACATTACTCCATTGGGGCCATCTAGACTCCTGACAAATGTTTTTGGATAATTAGACCAGAGGGTCTTCTGCCTAAAGTGTCACTTCAGCCTTCACTGGCTGAGCATACCTGGGTTTGGATTGCGTGACCACTTTCTCCTGCAGCTACCCAGTCTCCCTGATCTTAATAGGTCTCTCAGAGACCACTGGGGATGCTTTGATCCCACCTGGTCATTCTTGAGGAGCAGGCCAATCCCATCCTCAGGTAGATTGGGAACAACTCTTATGGTCAATGATCCTATCCTAAAGTCACACTCAGGATGCAGCTGGTAAAGGGGCAGGTGTATCTACCAGCCTTCAATCCATTTCACCAGCACCTTGGCACTCACTGCTCTCCCTAACGGAAAGGGCAGGCAGTAGAGTTTGGCTGGTTCAGTATCACTGTGGGCTTCTACCTCATGCTGGGGAAATGCAGCCATATTTCTTTTAGGTACAAAGTCCTGTTAACACTCAGGGATTTGTTTAACCTCATCTGCACTCTCTGGAGTGTCTTTACAGGGATTCTAAGCCACACTTAGAACTATAGCCTGAACAGTTATGCTCTCTAGAGATAACACAGTGTGGAGCTGGAGGAACACAGCAGGCCAGGCAGCATCAGAGGAGCAGGAAAGAAGGGTCCTGACCTGAAATGTCAACTTTCCTGCTCCTCTGATGCTGCCTGGCCTGCTGTGATCCTCCAACTCCACACTGTGTTATCTCTGACTCCAGCATCAGCAGTTCTTACTATCTCTGAGTCAGTTATGCTCTCTGTCTGACTTCCATTCATTGCATGGGTGTACATGCTCTGAAATTAAGAAAAATAAATCTGGTAAATCCCACTGTTTTTCCCCATAGCTTCCAGCTGTTAACTGGACTTTCAGATGTTAAACAGAACGTCTTAGCCACACTTTTAATCTCCGCACCACCCTTTCTGTCCTGAGGATGGCTCCCAATATTTCCCTCTCTACTATGGGTGCTCAGTTTCCTGTCACTCTCCCAACTCAATCCTTTCCAATTGGTTGTAGGGAACTAAGGGAAGGATTTCTTCAGGAAGAGAGGTTTGTGGATCAGCTCACAATCATCAGCCAATGAGGCTGCCTTCCTGGACTCAGTCACTTTCTGTTCTTTGAGGTGCATTCTTATTGGGAAGGGGGTGGGAGGAGAATTAGTTCAAGGTGATTTTTGTAAATTGCCTCTGATTCATGTGATCGTGCCCAGTGGTCATACACTTGAGCTTTTCAAATTCCAGCTACGTCTGGCCAGGCCATTTCATGATGGTATGAATTTTTGATGATATGTCACAGGCACTAACTGGTAAGCTCTCTAAATAGATATGTTTACTGCCTCTGTGTCAGTAGTTCTTACCTTAGGCAAGAGGGAGTAACATGGACACTTGCAACTTATTTTCTAAAATCCTCTCCTTCAGAGGGCCTCGCACTTGGTGCCATAAACTAATTCAAATGGAGTAAACCTGGTGGATCCAATTGGCTGAATCCCAGGTGGTGAACAGGAGAAGATGGGGCTCTTACCTTAGACAAGAGTGAGTAAACCTCGTGTACTTTTCCCAAGAGCTTACCCTGCAGTAAAACGGACCAATGTTGGACTGCCAGTTTTAACTCTGATTTTTTTCTTCACAGATGCTGCCAGACCTGCTGAGTTTTTCCAGCAACTTCTGTTTTTGTGCCATTTTTAACAGCTATGCCACTGACTTGACAGAGGTAAAGAAAGTTTTTACCTTTGCATCCTCAAACTAAAGAATTAAATGAGCTAACCAAATTTTCTCTGCCCTTAATTCTGAGCAAATACTGTATTTACGGGATGCAGTAAAGCTTCTGCTCCTTAGCTTGAGGTGTCGGCGTTCAAACTCTTTTCCTGCCATTTTCCTGAAATTCTCTATTCCCCTCATTATTCTTTTGACCCTTTCGCCATTGTCTGCCAGTTTGCCATTCCTTTTTTGTGAAATTCTAATTTCCACTGCTCAAATTTTAATCTCTGTTCCACCATGCTCCCCATTTCATCATCCCCCGTTTCGACCTTAAAAAACATTGGTAACCACTTTTAAAACATTCTAAACTTTTAACTGTTCAAGGGACAGAACGTGTATATCCTCAAAAGTAATTTCCCCTATTTCTGCTAGGAATATGCTGACATTGAGTATGGACATCTCTGTTCTATATTAAAGCCTCAAGACTTTTGCAGTTTTTTTTCTTTAAAACTGAATTTAAATTGATAATTTACTCACTCTAATTCTTGTGGCTTCATCTGCAGAATGAAATCACAGCACAAATCCTCAACACAGGACCATCCTGCAGACAGAGATGTCTCGCAGAATGATAAGACTGGCAGGGGGTTACACTTTTTCCTGCTGCATTGACTGGCACAACCAAGGAATAATTATATAGAGACCAGGCCTCTGTCCTGAGCATATTGGTGATAATGTTGTGCTTTAATATTACTGGTGAACCTTCAGTTTGTGTCAAGTTTCACTTGTACTGTATTAAATGTAACCACTGTCACCAGAAAGGATGGTAACAATAAATTATTTTACGAAAGATTAACGGTTAATTGACCATTCAGCAACCTGAAGTGGAATGTTCTGAAAGGGAGGGTTACTGGGTCAAGAGGTGCATGTTATTTAATGTCTATCTCTGTAAATAAAAACAGGTGAAAATTGGCTCCAATTCTATCTGGGTGAGGCTGGCAAACCATCGCTGACTACCATTTGTGAACCAGATTATAACAATTTGGCAACTTTATTGCTATTGCAATTTCTTCTTTTCAGGATTTGTTTAGTTAAGTTTGGATTCTCTGGATGGTTGAAGTGGAGCTGAAGGCTTACAGCAGCTCTCCACATATTCTTTAAAAATAGAGGATTCAAATATGACAAACATCTTTGAGCATAAAGCATAAAATGTCACATTTGAACAAACAAATTACAAAGTTAAAATCCATCCATTGCTTTGTATTAGAATATAATAGAACTCATTTATTTAACAAGGTTGTTCCAACTTGGTGACAGCAACTAATAATATTCATGCTATCAACTCTTCACAAATAAATTCTGTTAACTCAGACTTAATGTGCAGCAGATAAAAGCTTAAAAAGGGTCAACAAGCTTCCTCACTCACAGATCCAAATAAACAGGAAACAGAGCCAATTATCATCCCTTTCACTTCTGTCATTTGCCAGCTGAGCACTGACCATCAGCATATCCCATTTTGCCACATTGTTATCTGACACTGTGATGGATTCTGTGTGCCTGTCAACTTTGTCATCAAGGCAATGACTGTTTCAGAAGGAGTTTTCTTTATTTTCTTGTGGGATGTGGACCTCATTGTCTGGCCAGCATTTATTGCCCATCCCTATTTTGCCCATGAGAAGGTGCTGGTGAGCTGCCTTTTTGAACTGCTGCAGTCTTTTTGGTATGGCTGACCCACAATGCCATTAGGGAGGGAATTCAATGATTTTGATCTAGCGACAGTGGGGGAATGGTGATATATTTCCAAATCAAGATGGTGGGTAGTTTAGAAGGGAATTGGAGGTGGTGGTGTTCCCACTTATCTGTACTTGTAATTGTACTTCTAGATGATAGTGGTCGTGAGTTTGGAAGTTGCTGTCTAAGGATCTTTGATGAATTTATGCAGTGCATCTTGTAGATATTACACACTTCTGCTACTGAGTGGTAGAGTGGAGTGGATGCTTGTAGATATGGTGCCGATCAAATGGGCTGCTTTGTCCCAAATGGTATCAAGCTTCTTGAATGTTATTGGAATGGACAGTACAGGAAAGATGTTCTCAGAGAATGGCACAAGGTTCTAGCCGGAAACATTTTACTTTCCCAAGTACAGAAATAGTGCAATAAATCAGAAGAATAGAAAATGAGTCAGACTGATCTTTATTATAAGGTGAGGTCAGTGAAGGTTTACTCAAAGGTAGAGCTGGAGGGCATGGCTAATGTAGATGTTGCTTTCAATGTGGCAGTAATTAAAATTGTGGGCTGAAGCTAATGTTTTTTGGCTGAGTGTGAGTTGTGTTGAGGTTTTTGGAGGGATTCTTGCTGCAAGTCTAGGTGAGATATTGTGTCATTTCATGCCAAATGTGCCTCATTAACTGCATCCGCACCCCTCATATCCAATTTTATTATCATTCGCTATTTGGCAGAATAACTTGATGCCCACTGGGATGTGCACTGAAAGACTGGCATTTCTTGCACCTGCACCATTTATGAAAGGCCATTGTCTACCTGGACAAGCATCACCAATCTGATGTTGTCCCTCATCAAGAACATCATGGCACCGCACCCACAAAGCCATGAGGCCCATGACAAGTAGGCAACATTGCTGACACCCCCTCCACATGTACAAACCCAATCTGTTCACCTGTCCTTAGCTGCATCCCAATTAGCTCTCCCTTGGAGTCCATGCAATTGTTGCTCCAAAGTCCATCAAACAACATCATCATCATTGTCCAGTAGGGGGCATCACACACAAGCAAGCAATCTGACAAGTCCAAACAGGCACTTTTATTGAGAACTAGCAAAAGTGACACACAGATAAAAGTGAAAAAGACAAGGCTGAAGCATTTGTAGCAACCTTCAGCCAGAAGTGCTGAGTGGATAATCCATCTCGTTGCCTTCAGTAGTCTCCAGTCAATTTGATTCACTCGTGCAATGTCAGGAAACATTTGGAGGCACTGGATATGGCAAAGGTATGTGTCCAGACAACATTCCAGTAATAGTCCTGCAGACTTGTGCTCCAGAACTTAGCCAAGCTCTAACAGTACAGTTACAACACTGGTATCCACTCGACCATGTGGAAAATTGCCCAGCACACAAAAAGCAGGACAAATCCAACCCAGCCAATTACCACATCATCAATCTACCCTCGATCATCAGTAAAGATGGAAGGTGTCAACAATAGTGCTATCAAGCAACACCTGCTCAGCAATAACCTGCTCACTGATGCCCAAATTTGGTTCTGCCAGGGCCATTCAGCACCTGACTTCATTATAGCCTTGGTTCCAAAGGTGAGGTGAGAGTGACAGCCCTTGACATCAAGGCTGCATTTCACCAAGTGTGGCATCAAAGAATCCAAGCAAAACAGGAATCAATGGGTATCGGGGTTGGGGGTGGGGGGCGGCGGGTGGTGGTAGTGGTGGGTGGGTGGCGGTTGAGGGTACGAACTCTCTAGTAGTTGGAGTCATACCTGACACATAGGAAGATGGTGGTGGTTGTTGGAGGCCAGTCATCTCAGTTCGATGACATCTGTGCAGGAGTTCCTCAGGGTAGTGTCTTAGGCACAACCATCTTCAGCTGCTTCATCAATGACCTTCCCTCCATCATAAGGTCAGACGCACGGATGTTCGCCGATGATTGCATAAAGTTCAGCACCATTTGTGGCTGTGTAGATGCTGAAGTGATCCATGTTCAAAAGCAACAAGGTCTGGATATTATCCGGGTTTGGGCTGACAAATGGCAAGACACATTCTCAGGGTCATAGAGCTGTACAGCATGGAAACAGACACTTCAGGCAACTCGTCCAAGTTGGACCAGATATCCTAAATTAATCTAGTCCCGTATGCCAGCATTTGGCCCTATTCCTCTAAACCTTTCCTATTCATATACCCACCCAGATGCCTTTTAAATGTTATAATTGTACCAGTCTCCACCACTTTCTCTGGCAGCTCATTCCATACAAACACCACCCTCTGTGTGAAAATGTTGCCCCTTAGATCCCTTTTAAATCTTTCCCCTCTCACCTAAACCAATGCCCTCTAGTTTTGGACTCCCCCACCCCAGGGAAAAGACCTTGTCTATTTACCCTATCCATGTCCCACGTGATTTTATAAACCTCTATAAGGTCACCCCTCAGCCTCCGACGCTCCAGGGAAAATAGCCCCAGCCTATTCAGCCTCTCCCTATAGCTGAAACCCTCCAACCCTGGCAATATCCTTGTACATCTTTTCTGAACCCTTTCAAGTTTCACAATATCCTTCCTATAGCGGGGAGACCAGAATTGCACGCTGTGTTCCAAAAGTGGCCGAACTAATGTCCTGTACAGCCGCAACATGACCTCCCAACTCCTATACTCAATGCCCGAACCAATAAAAGTTCACATACCAAACGCCTCCTTCACTCTCCAGCCTACATGGGACTCCACTTTCAAGGAACTATGAACCTGCATTCCAAGGTCTGCATTGGTATGCCTTTCCAAAAATGCAGTACCTCACATTTATCTAAATTAAACTCCATCTACCACTCCTCAGCCTATTGGCCCATCTGATCAAGATTCCATTGAATTCTGAAGTAACCTTCTTCACTGTCCACTACTCCTCCAATTTTGGTGTCATCTGCAAACTTACTAACTGTGCCTCCTATGTTTACATCTAAATCATTTATACAAATGATGAAAAGCAGTGGACCCAGCACCGATCTTTGTGACACACTGCTGGTCACAGGCCTCCAGTCTGAAAAGCAACCCTCCACCACCACCCTCTGTCTTCTACCTTCGAGCCAGTTCTGTATCCAAATGGTTAGTTCTCCCTGTATTCCATGTGATCTAATCTTGCTAATCAGTCTACCATGCAGAACCTTGTCGAATGCCTTACTGAAGTCCATATAGATCATGTCCACTGCTGTGCCCTCATCAATTCTCTTTGTTACTTCTTCAAAAAACTCAATCAAGTTTGTGAGACACAATTTCCCATGCACAAAGCCATGCTGACTATCTCTAATCAGTCCTTGCCTTTTCAAATACATGTAAATCCTGTCCCTCAGGATTCCCTGAACAACTTGCCCACCACTGATGTCAGGCTCACCAGTCTATAGTTCCCTGGCTTTACCTTACCACCTTTCTTAAATAGTGGCACCATGTTAGCCGACCTCCAGCCTTCCAGCACCTCACCTCTGGCTATCGATGATACAAATATCTCAGCAAGGGTCCCAACAATCACTTCCCTAGCATCCCACAGAGTTCTAGGGCACACCTGATCAGGTCCTGGGGATTTATCCATCCTTATGTGTTTTAAGATATCCAGCACCTCCTCCTCTGTAAAATCGATATTTTTCGATATGCCGCTATTTATTTCCCCGTGTTCTCTATCTTCTATACGCTTCTCCACAGTAAACACTGATGTAAAACACTTGTACAGTATCTCCCCCATCTCAAAGGCGGCCTTGCTG